GAGAGAGAGAGAGAGAGAGAGAGAGAGAGAGAGAGAGAGGGCAGGGAGCTCGAGGACTCGTGGGCAGGGAGCTTCAGGAGAACTTGAGGGGGAATTCAGGGCAGGGAGCGAATGGGGACAGGAGGGGGACTTGCGGGCAAGGACGCACGCCTCGTTGACCGCCGTGCCATCGATCGATCGCAGCTCTCCTCGAGGCGATGGTCGAGATAGCGCGGCGGCTCGACGAGGCGTGCGACGCCGCGGGCGTCCCAGAGTTAAAGCCTGAGGACACCGCTTCTCCTCCTTGATCCTCTTGCTGGCCCCCCTTCTGATCCGCCTGATCATGATCCTCCTGATATTCCTGATCCTTCTCCCCCCCTCCTCCTCCTCCTCCTCCTCCTCCTCCTCCTCCTCCTCCTCCTCAGTGTGATCATTATCCCGATCCTCCTCCTCCTCCTCCTCCTCCTCCTCTCGAGGCTTCCCCTTCTGCTCATTCTCTAACTGATCCGCCTGAGGGCCTCCTTCATTTCCCCCGATCCCCATGCGGCGGCCGGGCGCGTCAGAACCTCTCCCAGAAAGTTTGCATATCCCTCGGGTCCCTTCCTCCTCCTCCTCCCCCTCCTCGATCACCTGGTTTCCTCCTCTAGGGGCCCCCCGAGCCGATGGTGATGTCGGGCATCCTTGGGCCGCACGCTGGCAAAAAACATAGTCAAGAAATTCGCAGCATGGGCGCGCAGGCGATTCGTGAAGAAGTAGGCCTCCCACATGGTTTTGGTCAAGGCCACCCCTCCTCCTCCTCCTCCTCCTCCTCCTCCTCCTCATCCTCCTCCTCTAGTTCGGTTACCCTCCTCTCCTTATCCTCCTCCTTCGCCCCCCCCCCCTCCTCCTCCCCCCCTCCTCCTCCTCCGCCGTCCTCCTCCGCCTCGTGCTTCTCATCTTCGCCCGCCGGTGTGGCCCTGCCCCCCCCCCCCCCTCTGCCCCCTCGCCCCCTCGTTCCGCTGCCGGGCGATGACGCCGAAGCTGCGCCGCGACAAGACGATCACACTAGAGGAGGTCGCGCTGGATGATGCGGCAGAGGCGCAACGTGCACGGCCGCGCGTAGGAGGGGGCGGGGGGGGGGGATGAGGAGGGCGAGGAGGGGGATGCGGAGGATGAGGAGGAGGAGGAGGAGGAAGAGGAGGAGGAGGAGGAGGAGGAGGAAGAAGGAGAGGGATCGATGACGGCCTCGAGAAGATGAGGATGGGGATGATGAGGAGGAGGGATGAGGATGAGGATGAGGACGGGGAGGAGGAGGTGGAGGGCGAGGATGAGGCAGATGAGGAGGAGGAGTGCAAGGATGAGCCCCCGCATCGCCAGGCGCTGGGCCGTCGAGACGACAGCCGCACCGCGCCCACGATCGAAGGCCTATCGGGGAAGGGGGGGCGGGGGGTGAGAAGGATGACAGATGTGGCGAGGAGCAGGATAGGATGATAAGGGTGAGAGGACTGCGAAGCACATCGGGCGAGGGGGATGCGAGGAGGACAGCGAGCAGGAGGAGAACACGGATGAATATGCGGGAGATGAGGAGGAAGAGAAGATGGGAGGGGAGGAGGAGGCGAGAGGAGGGGGACCAAGATGAGGAGGAAGGTGCGGAGAAATATGAGGATGATGCTGAGGGGGAGGAGGAGGAGGGGGAGGAGGATGAGGAGGGGGGGGGGGGGGGGGGGGGGGTGGAGGGAGGAGGAGGAGGAAGAAGGGAGCGACCACGGTGATCCCGACGACGACTGCCCCGACCTGGAGGCTTCACACAAGAGGAGGAATAATCAGATGATGAGGAAGGTGGGGAGAAAAAGGAGGGGAGGGGGAGGGGGGGGGGGGCGGGGGAGGAGGAGGGGGGAAGACGATCGACTACGATGGGGCCGACGACGATTTCCCCGACCTGGAGGCTTCGCGCAGATCCCACACTTCGGCGTCTACAACGTGGGCCAGTCAGGGAATCTGCCCATTCCTGACTTGCTGACGGCGCTTGGGAGGGGTTGCTTGCTGACGGTGCTCGGGGGGAGGATGGAGGGAAGGGAACAGAAGGGAAGAGAAGGGGAAGGGATGGGATGGAGGTGGAGGAGAAGGAGGTGGATGAGGAGTGGTGGAGGTGGAGAAGGGGAGGAGGTGGAGGGTTAAGATGTTGCGCGGAAGGGGGGGGGGGGGGGGGGGCGAGGGGGATGATGGAGGGGGGGTGATGCGAATAAGGAGGGGGAGGATGAGGATGAGGAGGAAGAGGAACGAGGGGGAGAGGGAGGGGGGGAGAGGAGGACGAGGAGGAGGGGGATCGGCGCTGACGATCCACGTGCGGCCGCGCCCATGACGACGACAGCCAGGTGTTCGGCTCCACGTACGCACAGATAACTAAAATGTGCAACGGCCGCCGCGCGAGCCAGAAGAATTTGGAGGCCCTCGGGCCTGCGCTCCCCATGGGTCACGGGCTCGAGTTATAGGAGGATGAAGCACCCTGCAGGAGAATGAGCCTCGAGGAGGCCGAGGAGAAGGAGGGGGCGGAGGAGAAAGAGGAGAAGGATGAGGAGGAGGGGGCCAGGGAGCCAGCAGAGGAGGACGCACCCAAGAGGAAGCGAATCAGGAGGATAAGACAGGGGGGATCGAGGAAGAGCATGAGGATAAGACAGGGAGACCGATGCAGGATGAGCAGGGGGAAGGGGGGGGGGGGGCAGGAGATCGAAGAGGAGCAGCAAGAGGAGGGGGCCCAAGCGGAGGCAGTCAGCAAGCTATGTTGCCCCTCTCGGAGCTTCGACCCTAGAGGAGGGTGATCTACGCCGCGCCCAAACGCAGGAGGAGACGCAGGAGGATGCGACAGCGAGGGTCGAGGGCGGGCGGCCTCGAGGGCATTGGGGGGCGCAGGGTCCTTCAGGAGGAGGGGCGGCTCAGGGGAAGGCGAGGAGGTGGAGACAGCCAGCAGGAAGTGTTGCCTCCCTGAGTCGGCATGTCTTCCCCCGTCCATGACCCTCGCTGCCGCAGGTCGTCTGGGACAAGCGCTATCGCGCCAAGTTCCAGGAGCAGTGCAACAAAAATGCATCGCAAGCTGCCCAGGGCGGGCGTCGTGGAGGGCCACAGGCCAGCACGCCGCCGCAGCTTATTTTCGGAGAGGGGATGGGGGGCAGCAGGACCAGGATGAGGAGGGGGGAAGAGGGAGAATAAGCGGATCAGGGGGAGGAGAGGGAGGAATATGTTGAGGAGCAAGATAAGGATACTGAGGAAGATGAAGGAGGATAAGGATGAAGACGACGAAGAGGATGATATCAGGATAAGATGAACGGATTGAGATTTCAAGGACGTGGGCACTGGGGCCGCGCAGGCCAGAACGCGCTGTAAGTCACCCTAGCAGGGGCGCAGGAGGATCTCGATGAAGATGGTCCAGGGGCTGGTGGCGCTGCAGGCGAATCGTTGCGTCTCGTCCCCGTTTCGTTTGACTTGTTTCGTCGCGCCCCCTCGTCGCTTGCTGCGTCAGTGCCGCTGCCCCGAGCGAGGTTCCTCGAGGTCCGCGCGTTCGCGATCGGGCTCGCGCGCTGGCAGCGGAAGCACGGCCGCGACATGGGCGTAGAGGTCACCAGAGGGTCGGCGCGAGCAGCCAGGGGCCGAACTTGAGGGAGCCGATTCGAACTTGACATCGAACTTTAGAGAGCCGACCGATCGAACTTGAAGGGGCCCGGCTCGACCGATCGAATTTGACGGAGTCGACTCGAACTCCGGCCGGACTTGAGGGAATCGACCCGACGTCAGGGCAGGGTGGCGGACGAGGAGGAGAAGGAAGAGGGAGAAGGAGGAGGTTCGAAGAGGCGTGAAGAGGATACTAACTTGATGAGGAGGAGGCGGAGGAGGACGAGGAAGAGGAACGAGGGGGGGAGGAGGAGGAATATCGAAGAGGAAGAGGAGGAGGAGGAGGAGGAAACGGAACGAGGGGGGCGAGGATGAGGAGGAGGATGAGGAGGAGGAGGCGTAGGATGAGGAGGATGGGGGGGATGAGGAAGAGGAGCGAGAGGGAAGCAGCGCAACACCGTCGAGCGATCGATCGTTGAGAAGGGGTGGCCGGTCGACTGCTCGGATGAGGTCGAGTTCGTAGAGGGCGAGGTCGTCGCGCAGTACTTGCACGACGCCCACGCGGCGCCAGACGAGGACATGGGGGGGGGGGGACCTGCCGCTGGGGAGGGCGAGAGGAGGAAAGAGTTGGAGGAGAGAGCAGAGGTGAAGGAGGGAGGAGGGGGCGATGTTTCGAGGAAGGAGGGCGGAGTTGGATGGGGGGGGAGGGGGTGGCTGAAGGGAGGAGGGGTCGGAGGGGGCGGAGTTGAGTTGAGGGGGTTGGAGGGATGATGAAGGAGTTCGAGAGGTTGGAAGAGGAGCGTAACTACACAGCACATCGATATCGATCTCGAGATCGAGGTCGACCAGGAGGACGCGGGCGGGTCGATCTCGATCTCGAGACCTCCATCTCGAGATCGAGGCCGAGATCGATGCCGACCTCGATCGAGGGGCACCTCGACCGCGATCTCGATCTCGAGATCGAGCACGTGGCTAGTGGACAGGGCACCGCCGAGCCCGACGAAGAAGAGGCAGTCCCCCTGGCCGACGGCGAGGAAGCGGCTGCCCCCTAGAGGACGAACACTGCGGGGGGGCGGAGGCGGTCCCCCTGGAGGATGACGGCGAGGAAGCTACGGCCCCCATCGAGGGCGAGGATAACGGCGAGGAGGCGGAGGCTGTCCCCCTGGAGGGCGACGGCGATGAGGCGATTGCCCCCATCGAGGGCGAGCGCGGCGAGGAGGCGGCGGTCCCGCAGGACGAGGTTGAACACTGCGAGGGGGCGGAGGCGGACAGCTTCTACTCGGATGACTCCGATGGGGGTGGCCGAGGAGGAGCTCGGGGGGGCTGCGAGCAGCGCAGCTGCGTCGAGCAGCAGCGGTGGAGGTATCAGCATGCCGTTCATGAAGGAGCTCATGGGCCACCGCGCGCGCAAGAAGGCGATCAAGAAGGAGGTCAAGAAGGAGGTCAAGAAGGAGGAGCCCGAATAACCTATCAGCTGGATCCCGCCGAGCCTGTCGATCGGCGCGATCCCGAGGCCTGAGGACAAGCCGACCACGGCGAAAGGCAAGGCGACGGGCAGGCCGAAGGGCAAGGCGGAGGGCAAGGCGGAGGGCATGGCGACGCCCAAGAGGAGTGCGCCCCGCCCAAGCTGGTGCAGCCGAAGAAGAAGAAGGCGCGCGCGAAGGCCAAGGCTGCGACTC